AGTTCTCTCTTTTTAAATCCCATATATTTTTGTGTATTCCCCTCCTTTACAGATTTTTCCCCTACTGCCTTTTTCAAGTGACAATTAAGCTTTCTTTGAGTCCTCTACCCCCCTTTGTGTAGAAATGAGCTGGCATGAGAGGCTTATGGAAAAAGGGGTGAAAACTGTGGCAAAATTTATTAGTAGCAGGTAAAAACACACACACACACACAAAAAAAAACAGGCAAACTATGTCCTATTACTGACTCTAGAAACCACTTAAAACTGCAATTTTTGTTGTCACTGACATAAAATAGTGTGGTTTACTGAATATGTAAAATTCGAAAAAATAATCTTTTCTTCAAAAAGTTAAGATTACATATATGTGGCAAGGCCTTGTAAAAGCATCAGATGTATTATTCATATACTGTTTTAAGTAAAGGTAAAGGCCCTCCCGTTGATCGTCGATTTGCTCGAGCGGGCCCAGTAACGTCTCCATTGGAGACTTTGTTGTTACTGTGTCTGAAATGTATTTTTATAAAAACTCACATATTGTCATCTGATCACTGTATTTATTTGGAATTACTTTTCATAGAAGTGATTTTTTTAAATAAAAATTTAAGCAAATTACAATAGTACATTACAGTACAGTGATTCTGAGAACTTATTCTACAAAAGTAAATGATGGTATAATTTTGATACTGGTAATCACTGTGTGACATAGAAATGCAATGATTCTTGTCCTTAAACATCTTGAACAACTGCCTTAAAATTTTTTGGAAATCCCTAATACAGAAAAACCACACACAAGATGGTCAAGACAGCATTCTCTACTAGCACCAGATTAGAAGGGGGAATATTTGGACAGAGTTCTTACAAAATATAAATTGAAACAAAAAGAACCTTCAGTGATACCAAACACAATTCAAGTAGAGTCTCCAATATGCAAAGATTTGAAAAGATGAAGGAAACTTGGTTTTTGCTCTTATTGGTGTCATATTATAATGGAGTAAGCAGATACAGCAAAAGAAGAGGCACAATAAAAGGCTATAGGTACTGATTTAAAGCGTCTTCACAAAGAATAGTACAATAATCAGGGCAAAAAGTGTCAGTGTGATAAAACAGAGCAGCAGTGTCCCAAGATGTAGGAAGAAAAACATGCTGTCTCCTTGGAAACATGGAAACGCTTCACCTATGCTTGAAAATTCCACTGATCAATGCTTCACATGGATGATTCTTTCAAATCATCTTTTCTGTTCACCTGGAAAAACAAACCAACATACAAGTATTAGATTTGCACTCATTTAACATTTCCTCTATAGACAAAATTACAAAAGGTTTGTGATTTGCACCACTTGCTTCACGTCTGAAAAACCTTCAAAGAATGCAGATACAACATGAATCTGCATCAGAAGCTGAAGGAATTACAGGTCAATATATATTAAGAAATAAAAAATCAGGAAGGCAGTAAGACAAGAAGTCTTGAAAATGCAGTTCATGAAACCAATTCAAGTCAAGTTTCCATCTATTAAAGAATTATGGTATAGTGACCATGCACTTATACAAATAAGAATAAAATGTGACACCCATGGCATGTACACAAGAGAGGTGCCTTAACCCAGGTTTCCAGAAAAGAAGTATCATAGAAGTTTAAAAAGTTTTATTGCTTCCAATTTTGTATTTTAAGAAACTGAGCTATTTGACTCTGGGAATCCAGATTGGTTCAGCTCAGACTGATCTCTGGTCTTATAAAACCTTAAGTGTTTTAACTTGAATCTAAACTTGGTCTTAAAGAGAAAAAGAATATCTTATAATTTTGTTTGTTTGTTTTGGGTAACATCCATCTGTTCTCTGCGTATATTCCTAGGGTACTTGGAGAACTGTCTATGGTGCCTGAGATTGAATCTGGTCAATTCCATGCAAGGGATTAATCAAGCTCCTTAACTCCTATATTATCTTTCTGGATCCTCCCCTAAGCTGGATTCCAGACAATATGTCACAAAACTTAAGTGAGGCTATGTGTAAATTCTGAAAAATAGCATAACTTATTCTAGACGTTTCTAGTGTAGGGGAGAAGAAAAAATTTAAATTATGCTTTGACAATTCTTAATGAGTTAAAATGAATTAATTATTAATTAATTATTTTTATTAATGAATTAATACATTTTAACTTTGTAAGATATGTAATTTAAGAACTAAATAAGATGATGCATTTTTACCTCTGGCAATGGAAAATACAAGTTAATCTTCCAAAGTGTTTCTGAAAGCATTTCAGAAGTTTTTCCTAACAAAATATCTATTTGATAAGAGTCCTGTGAAAAGGACTCATCTTTTTGGAATTAAAAATATATGCTCAAATAAATACATATTTGAGATTGTTAGGGAAAAGCAATAAACGTAACAATATTTTATAAACACTAAATCAGATAATCAAACAGTTACTGGTTTTAAATGAACTACCATTAATATCTTATTTAACTTTATAACAGTGCAGAAAATGTTCTTTTCCATCAAAAGCTGAATGTTATCTGTCCTTAGATATATTATAATTTTGTTTCAAATCTGTGGCACCACCAAAACTTTTTACAAAGTGCAATGGAAATCACTCCTTGCCAGCAATCTGATAGAAATGGTAATAATTTCTAGAATTATAATTGGAAAAATATTTGAGTATTTTGAAGAGTAATAAAAAACAAAGCAGATGAGGAGGCAGTACAAAAAGTATGTATTTTGATATTCCATCTAGAAAGAAAAATAATTATTCTATGCTCTAAAATGTGAATACATGTTTGGAGGAGGAGGAAAGCAATGGTAAAGACACAGGGTGCTAATTTCTAAATTCAGGTTCAAGCAACATTTATGTGATAACTAAAATTTCATTAAGCTAAGAAGTTGGATTTGTGTTGCACAACAATTTGCTTTCTTTGAGAGTAACTCTGGGCCACATAGACAAGAGGTAAATTACTTGCCCTGTGTGTAGCTGTGGTGGCTGTGACCCTGGTTGGAATCCTGGGCGACAATATATGAGCCCCTGAGAACCACCAATAGTTTCTCCCGAGCATAGAGCCAGGAATAGCCCCCTGAGAGCAGTGGGATTGGTTGCCCACTCCAACCCCTCAGGGTAATTATTAAAATTTAAGTAGTAATTGTGTTTGAAGAAGATATTAATCTATATAACAAAATGTTTTAAATAATCACTATAAATTTATACTCATGGTTTAACTTTTTATTTTATTTTTTGCTTTTTTGGGTCACACCCAGCAATGAACAGGGATTACTCCTGGCTCCACACTCAGGAATTACTCCTGGCGGTGCTCAGGGGACCATATGGGATGCTGGGAATAAAACCCAGGTCAGCCGCATGCAAGGCAAACACTCTACCTGCTGTGTTATTGCTCCAGCCCCATCATGGTTTTTTTGTTTTGTTTTGTTTTTTGGGTCACACCTGGCGATGCACAGGGGTTACTCCTGGCTCTGCACTCAGGAGTCACTCCTGGCGGTGCTCAGGGGACCATATGTGATGCAGGGAATTGAACCCGGGTTGGCCGCATGCAAGGCAAACGCCCTACCCGCTGTGCTATCTCTCCAGCCCCCCCCCCCCATGGTTTAACTTTTAAAAAGCTTTAAAATTGATCAGGTATTATGTATTGAACAAACTTTTGACTACTAATAACCCTATACATAAGTTTATCTTTATATTCTGACATGGACTAATAACATAAATGTAATTGTTTTGAGAGGGCATTACAAGCAGGGCTCAGGAGATCTGAGATCATTCCACCCAGCTTACTGGTTTGACTGGTCAGTGTTCCAGCAGTAAGAACTATACCCAGCTGTGCCTGTAGAGCCATGCATTGTCCTGGATCAATGTCAGCTCCTGCACTCCAACCTTTTGAGTTATCTACCTAGAATCACAAATGTTTTTAAGATGTTAAACATTAGGGCTGGAGAGATAGCACAGCGAGTAGGGCGTTTGCCTTGCACGCGGCAGACCCGGGTTCGACTCCCAGCATCCCATATGGTCCCCTGAGCACCACCAGGAGTAACTCCTGAGTGCAGAGCCAGAAGTAACCCCTGTGCATCGCCAGGTGTGACCCAGAAAGCAAAAAAAAAGACATTAAACATTATATATTGAAAAGTATCACTAATCCATACTCTTTGCAACCACTATTCTCAGCCTTGCTGAGATTAAATTAATTCACAAAAAAATCTAGACTTTCTACTTTTTTTAATTCAGGATGTCTGAGACCTCCTCCAAAGTAAGTTGAGTGACACAAAATACCTATCAACAATAAATAAGAAATAAATCAGACTTAAGGAATACCACAGTGGGTAGGGTGCTTGCCTTGCACGTAGCTGACAGGGTTCAATCCACATCACCCCATATGATCCCCCAAAGCATTCTCAGGAGTGATCCCTGAGCACTGCTGGGTATGGCCCCCAAACAAAAAGGAAGATGACATCCTCTAGAGTAACTTGAAATTAGGAGTATTTCTTAAAAGGGAAATTTAGATCAAATTTCTGGAAATAAAAGTGTCATCGTCTGTGGAAAGACAACAAGATGTAAAGTTTCCTAAAGTTGTACCTTTTCCATTCCAATGATCAATTTACACAGTGTGTTGGGGGGGGGGGGGTCATTGCTTGTAAGGGGTTATGCTTTGGATGAAAAGAAAGTAAATAATAATAATAATAGGCACAACTAAGCAGATCTGATTTTTAAAGGCGTTAAGTTCATTAAGAATAGCCCCCACCACGCCCCTCAAAGACGTAAGTCATCCTGGCTCCAGAAACAGTCACACACACCCAAGATGGGCTAGGTAAGCAGTTCCAAGCAAGCATCTTTCAAAGAACCTCAAGTGGCTGGGGCTTACCGAAATATGTGACAGTACCACTAGAATTGATTTCCAAGCATCTGAACAGCGTGCAAATTGTCTGAGAATGGTGCTCAGCGACTGAGACAGTTTGCAAGCATGATTCAGAGAGCTGCCAAGGAAACAAAAGAAGCCTCACTCCCCCCCCCCCCCCCCCCCTTGAGACTGCACATGGCATTAGAGGTGCACCAGGCATGATTTCTTTTAAGGTAGGTGGAAAAGCAGTAGTCTGCGCAGGAGAGGTACATACTAGGGAGCGCTGTCTGGCAGTGCAGGGGCCACGGAGTTTCCATTGGTCGGGGAACCGCCCAGCTTCAGTTTCTCCAGATATTCGGCATGCACGGGCTTGTGGCATTGGAGAACCTTGATGGCATCTTCGATTTTGAACCACTCGCGTTTCCTGCCGATGCTCAGCGAATCTTCCCAGTCATCCAGAATCTCGGTGACGGTCAGGACATACACATAGGTTCGGTGCTTGCGATCTTGGTTCTGCTCGAAAACGCCGAGGAGCCGGCCTAACTTCCCCTTGACTCCCGCCTCTTCGTACACCTCCCGGACCGCCGCGCCGCCCGGCTCCTCCTCGGGCTCCATGCCCCCTCCCGGCACGATCCAGCGGTCGGGGTAGCGGCTGCTACTCACTAACAGCACCTCGTCTTCGCGCTCGTTCCGGAAGCACAGGCACGCCGCCCGCTGCTTGAAGCCCTCCGGGTCGTAGGTGCGCGTCTGGTTCGGTTTACACTTCATCCTCTCGGCCGCGGCCGGTCGGCGTGCTGGGGGGATAGAGAGACACACACACGGACTAACACACGCGCGCGCGCGTACACACACGCGCGCGCGCACACACACACACACACAGGGGCGGGGAGCGAGAGGCGCCTCAGCTGCGAGCCCCCGAGCCTGGGCAAAGACGCGGTGGGGACCGGCGAGATCGTCAGTCCCCGGAGGGCCCCGAGGGTCCAAACACTCAGGCGCTCTGGCGGGGGAGATGAGGCCGCTGCCGCCTTCTACGTTCCCGCAGCCGTCACTAGCCCAAGCCTGCAACTCTGACCAAGGACCCCCGCACCTCTGGCGCTTGGCTCCCTCTCCTTCAGCGTAGGTGGCAGGGACAGACTGAAGTAAGGAGCCTCCGCGTGCTCGTTCGCGGACTCATTCACGTGCGCGTTCCCGTCGGGAGGGTGCGAGATGAGGGCGGGGGGTGGTCTCGGAGCTCCAGCCGGGTACAGCTCTTGGGACCCACAGCGCACGCGCCGGATCGCGGGCTCTGAGAGTCCTGCGCCACAGTTTATTCTTCGAATCGTCACATATACTGGTTGATTCCACTTGTGCCTTTCTGTGAAGCTTGGCTGTGGCGCGCACAGATGGTTGTCTGTCCTCTGTCCCTTCCCATAGCGCGGCACCCAGTTTCGTCAATTTAACACGCGGTCAGGGGCCACCATCTCGGTCCTAGCTCATAATACAATACCCTGGTTTATTTAGAGGAAGGCCTGGTTTTGTTGCAAGGAGCATTTGGTGATGTTGGCCAAACGGCCCCTACTCTCTGTCAAGTCATGTCATTCAGTTTTATTTCAACAGGTTCTTCCCCTTGTGGGCATCTTGGCACAGCCCATAAACGAACACTTTTCCTAGATCTTAGTTGAGGCCTGGCCCAACCTCTCTGCTTCAGTTTCCTCATCACCTGCTTGAGAAATTCTTGACCAGCTTCTCTCAGTCCCTCCCCACACAAGGAATCAGAGTCACCTGACAGCAGTTCGTCCCAAGAATCTCACCTTCCACACATTCCACATTCTTCTGCCAAACACAGGCTGAGAATTTGGGAAATATGCCTGCGGAAATCTGTTCCTTTTTATCATTTGATTTATTCCTCTGGAACTTGGCGCTGTCACGTTTTGCTTGGCCCCTTCTAACCTCTTGGCCTATAGCCCAAGCTCTCATTCTCTTATTTTTCTTTTTATAGGGGCAGCATCCTGGTGTGCCAAGAATATATGCGGTTTGGAAAGATAGTTGCTCATTTTTTCTTTTTTTCTTCTTCTTTGGTCACACCCAGCGTTGTACAGGGGCTATTCCTGGCTTTGCACTCAGGAATTACTCATGGTGCTGTTCAATGGGACTACATGGGATGCTGAGAATCAAATCTGGGTCGGCTGCATGCAAGGCAAATGCCCTACCCACTATACTATAGCTCCAGTCCCCAATAGTTGCTCTTAAGAGCTTGAGGGACCATGTGGATATGGCAGCCAGGTCTTTCTGCATGCAAAGCTAAGCTCATCCCATTGAGCTCCCTCTCCAGCCCCTTGATCTTTTGATTTTAATTTTTAAATTTATCTTTATTTTTAAGACACTGGTTTATGAAGTTATTCATAATAGAGCTGCTTCACACATAGAATGTTACAACACCAATCCCACCACCAGTGACACCTTCCCACATCAATGTCCCCAGGTTCCCTCCTTCCCTCAGTAACAGGTATTTAACAAATTTATTTCATATCACTTGCTCCAATAATACATAAGGAATGGCAATTGGAATTATTAGAAAATAAATCAATGAAGTCAATGTATGATTTTAATCCATGTAAATAAATTCATTCCATCTAATAGAGCATAATATAATCTTATTCTCATTTATATAAATAAGTTTTCTACTATGGCACCTATAATATACAAAAATTTTATTTTGTACTCTGATATCATTGTGATAATTGTCATCTCTTTCCTGCCATAAATAAAACTTTGAAAAAATTCTGTGCTAGTATATTTTAGAGTTTAGATGAAATGGGTAAAATTCACAAATGTAAAACTTAGTAAGAATGAACAGAATTAAGAAAATTTAAGCAGGAAAAATCAGAATACACCAAAAATGTGCAAAGTGTTTATCTTTGAGAAAGAATATTTGTTATATATTAGAAATATAAGATACCTCCTAAAATAATAGGTATCACTTGAGTGCATATAAAATACTGAGTGTAAAATATTGTAATGAAATTTCTGTGGACTGAGGTTGTAAAGGTAGTACAGTGGGTAAGGAGCTTCTCTTGCATGCAGCTAAGCAGGTTCAATCCCTGGCACCCCATATAGTCCATGGACAACTGCCAGGAATGATCTCTGAGTACAGAATCGGTAGTAAGCAGTGAGCATTGTCAGGTATGAACCCCTCAAAATTCCCCCCCAAAGTCTATGGATCTTGAAAAAAAATGATCCGACAAAAAAATCTTCCACTTGTTTATGAAAAGTCCACCCATATGTCCACTCTTCTGCCATCTTGCTATTTAGTCATCTTTTTCTGTGGACAATGATCTTGGAATCCAGCAAGTAGGAACCTGAAAACTCACTTTTTTCACTCGTTTCTCCCCCTTTTTTAAAAATTTAAGAATTATAGTTTACAAAGTTGTTGATAGTTGAGATTTAGGCAATTAATATTTCAACACCAGTCCCATCATTCCCTCCACCAGTGTTTCCATATTCCCTCCCAAACCCCACCCCTGCCCCTTCACTGCCTGTCAACTTGACAGAAATATTACAAAGTTCCTGTGGTTGCAGCTTACATCTCATGTTTTCGTGTGTCGTTGTGACTATATTTTGGATATACAACTATACCACTTTCCCATATCACCAGTATAACTGAAGCTATGATGCCTGTCCACCCATTACTTTGTATTCTCTTCTCCCCTGCCTTGATTTCTTTCCTTTTCTGTCATTATCATACTCTCTAAACACTGGGGTCAAGGGTGATCCCCCTTTACATAGTACATTTAATCATCCAGTGTTCGTGCATGCAGCTTACCATATTCGATACCTGATAACCCATTAGTCCCTGGACCACTGCCAGGAATTATCCCTGAGCACAGAATTAGGAGTAATTCCTGAGTATAGCTAAATATGGCCCCAAATCCTTCCCCCGATCTATGGATGTTAAAATAACTGATCAGAGATTTACATTTTCCTATATATATCACATATATGTGAGATTATCCTTGTTTGTCTTTTTTCTCTGGCTTACTTCACTCAACATGATATCTTCCCATTCCAACCACATTGTAGCAAATTGCATGGTTTCGTCCTTCCTTGCAGCTGCATAGTATTCCATTGGGTTGTCACTGTTACTGTCACTGTCCTCCCGTTGTTCATGGATTTGCTAGAGCGGGCCCAGTAACGTCTCCATTGTGACACTTGTTACTGTGTTTGGTATATCAAATATGTCATGGGTAGCTTGCCAGGCTTTGCTGTACGGGCCAGGTACTCTTGGTAGCTTGCGGGGGGCTCTCCGAGAGGAGCAGAGGAATTGAACCCACATCGGCCTGCAAGGCAAACGTCTTACCCGCTGTGCTCTTGCTCCAGCCCATTCCATTGTGTTATATACCACAACTTCATAATATGTTCATCTGTTGCTGAACACCAGGATTGATTCCATACTTAAGCTATTATAGTGAGTGCAGTAATGAATAATAGTGTGCATATGTCTTTTTAGATAATGCTTTTATGTCCTTGAGGTAGATGTCTAAAAGTGGAATTGCTGGGTCATATGACAGTAAAATTCTAAGTTTTCTTCATACTGTTTTCCATAGGGGTTGTACCAGGCAACATTCCCAGCAGTTGAGATTTCGTTTTCTGCCACATCCCTGCCAACACAAATTGTTCCTACTGTTTTTGTTATGTGCAATTCTCACCAGTATGAAATGGTATCTCATTATTGTCTTGATTTTAATTTTTCTGATGATAAGTGATGCCGAGTACTTTTTCATATGTCTAATGGCCTTCTGCTTGTCTTCCTCTGAGAAGTGTCTATTCATTTCCTCTCTCTAATTTTTGATAGGGTTTTTAAATTTTTGTTGCTTATCTTTGTAAGTTCTTTATATATCCTGAATATCAAACTTTTATCTTATTACTGAATGCAAATATTCCTCCATTCAGTTAGCTTTCTTTTAGTGTAAACTCACTTTTTTAAAAATGGGGGGACATACGCAGCGGTGCTGGTGGACTCAGAAAACCATATGGGCCTCCTGGGAAAAAAGACAGCCACATGATAGGCAAGCACCCTACTTGCTATACTATGTCTTAGGCCCTGGGGACTCACTGTTCTAATGCAGTAAGCCATTTCAATGGAGGAATAAAATGTAGAATGAGATCAGACTGTTTGATTTTGAAACAAAAATACTATTAAAACGTATAAAAATTTAAAAGTTTTCATAAATTGGCATAAATATTTAGTTTGATGTACAAATTTATTGCACCTTCAACATCACCCCAGTGCCCAAGACCCTCTACTTGTGTCCTTATGTAACTTCTAAGTGTATCTTTTCCTCCCCTCCTGTCACCGCCTCTTTGGTTATCTCTCTTTTGTAATTTTTAAATGGCAAGGGTTTGCCATGATCCAATATTGTTTAGTCCCTTGTTTTGTTTCTTTTTGTGCCATAATTAAAAATTTTAAGTACAATTCAATTCAGATTCCAGGTTCAGCTCCACTCCATGCATACCAAAATATAGTTCTAAAAATGATCTTGTTCCCATTGGTTAGATGCAGCTGCAAAATCTTTAGCATATTAAGACCAAAAGGTGTGGGCTGCATATGAAAAGCTGAATATATACGTATATATACATATATATTATATATATGACTGTCCTCCCGTTGTCTATTGAATTGCTTTAGCAGGCACCAGTAACGTCTCCATTGTGAAACTTGTTACTGTTTTTGGCATATCGAATACCCCACGGGGAGCTTACCAGGCTTTGCTGTGCAGGCAGGATACTCTTGGTAGCTTGCTGAGCTATCCAAGAG